ACAAATTCCAAGTCTCCAAAACTCCAAATCTCCAAATCCTCAAATTAGTAATATCCTAACTCCACAAATTCCAAGACTCCACAACCCCAAATCTTCAGAGTCCTTAGATCCCAAAATCCCAACTCCACAAATTCCAAGTCTCCCAAACCCCAATTCTCAAATCCCCAAATTCCTAATATCCTAACTCCACAAATTCCAAATCTCCACAACCCCAAATCTCCAGAGTCCTTAGATCCCCAAATCCCAACTCCACAAATCCCCAAATCCCAAAATCCCAAAATCCCACATCCCCAAATCCCCAAAATCCCAAGCTCTCCAAATACCTAAATCTCCTGACCCTAACCCTTGAAATCCCAAATTGCAAATTTCCATCCCCCAAATCTCCAACTCCCCAATATCCCTCCATTCCAAAATCCAACCTCCAACTTCCCAGATCCTAAAATCCCAAATTCCCAAACTCCATCCAAAAGCCATTTCCCCTCTTCCCTCATTTCCCAAATAATAGAATTATTAACGCCAGGTCGATCACCCCGTACATAAGCAACTTTTTGTCCGTTTCTCGAAGGGAATTCAGCGAGACAAAGAGGTACCCTTGAAGATGTGTTGCAGGGTGATCGACGATGGGCGTTCCGGTGTCATGGTATTTCGAAGCATTGCGCAATCCCCCCTGCCACCAGCAACCATTTCGAATGGTGTTGGCGCTTCTTCCTCGGTTTGTCAGCTGGTTTCAAGGCCGACTGGTAACGCGGACCGGTCCTCGAAAGCATAATCTCGCGGACTAAACTTCGAGGGACATTTCGAAATTGGAGGACTCGCGAACTTCAAGGTGGAACGGGTTTCCAAACGGACTTGTTCACATCCTGATCAGAGGATTGTTACACGTGCTAGTCGTCGCGAAAATCATTCTGAGTACAAGATGGCGGGTGACATTTTGAATTGCGAAAGGTGAGCAACGTATATTTAGAACTAATGCAACTTAAGGGTATGAGAACGTTTCAAGCAGAGAAAATCAATCATACTTTTCTCCTCGGTTATTTTATCTACTAATATTATATTTCTTATAAATAATAATTTACAGTTAGACTAAGAAAATGTACATATTTTAGTAGAGACAGAACAGATACAAATGTTATCGTGTAAAAGAAAAAATATGAGAGGCAATGTCTTTTAGGACCAATGTTCAATGCGTTCAACGGGAGCAGCTTCCAGGGATGAGGGAAATTAATTTCCAAGGAAATGATCAGTTATAACGTGTATTAATCTGCTCGAAGTATTCGTTTAATCATTCCTGGAATTAATTGCCGCTGATACGTCAGTGAAATTCTGAAAAGCGACCGGTAAAAAAAAGGACAAAGAACGTCGCTCAACTGGAAGAATATCGTCGGTTCGCGTTGGGAGTGCAGGAAGAGAAATTATTACGGCTGACAGGAATGACGGGAAAGCAAAAAATTTCAAGGAATTATAGAGGAATTGCGAGAAATGATAAGGACTTCATTCGTCCGGCTGTCGTACTGGGTTTAACTATGGAACTGCGACCGATGTACAGTACCCTTTTCCAGCGCTAACTACCGACGACACTGATCCTACGAATCTCACCCTCGGGTGCTTTTCAAACGCAAACATCGTTACTGCGATACAATTAACTGCGGAAAAACAATCCCTATTAGCAGCCGGCGGCATTACCGACTTCTAAAAACTTACAATTTGCAAAAAGTTAAATTATTTCACCATGAATACTTCTACTTTTTATAATATATCATAAAGAATAACAAGGGGGATGACAAAGTTAACAAAGAAGGCGAAATATTTAAATCAAAGAGATTTAAAAATATCTATGTATATTTTGTTTGGCAAAAGGCATAAAAATCCATCCTCGTTCAAGCATAAATTCAATCAGCCATGAAAAGAATACAGAACGATATTTGTAGGTTAGGTATCCCTATACGTTCCATCGAGCGAGAAGATTAATTGCCGGTAACATGATTTCCTTGACGATCTTTTGACCTTTTACGCGGAAACGAGCGCACGTGCAAGCTGCACAACAAAGCCAGCACGTAACACGTCCATTGTTAAACGTGTTCCTCCTTTAGGGCAACCAATGTTCTGTTATTGACACGTACTCTTTACACGCGGTGAACACAGTCTGCGGATAGATGATGGTACACATGCTACTTTACCGACGTCTGTCGAACCGTCCGATTAATTAATACTTCACAAAATTGAGGTAAACGGGGCATATACCGAGTAACGGGGCGTATTAACGGGTATATTAATAAAGATAACTATAATTATGTAATACGATACTTGTAAATTGATTACAAACACCTGACAAGCTTTCGTAAATACCTACGAATACAGTGAACACTCGTTATATTGCCGCAGACGGTGTTTTGGCAAATTGCAATATAGCAAGAGGTACCTTCACTGTGTGATTACAGAGGTTGTTCGTAAATTTTTATAATGATGTACTTCCAAGTATAACACGAGTAGAAAGGACATTCGCTATATTGCCGCAGACGGTGTTTTGGAAAATTGCAATATAGCAAGAGGTACCTTTGTAGAGTGATTACAAAGGTTGTTCGTAAATTTTTGTAATGATGTACTTCCAAATATAACACGAGTAGAAAGGACATTCGTTATATTGCCGTAGACGGTGTTTTGGAAAATTGTAATATAGCAAGAGGTACCTCTGCAGAGTGATTACAAAGGTTGTTTGTAAATTTTTGTAATGATGTGCTTCCAAATATAACGCGAATACAGTGGACATTCGTTATATCGCTGTAGACGGAATTCTGGCAAATTGCAATATAGCAAGAGGTACCTTGACGGTTTGATTATAAACGTTGTTCGTAAATTATGTAACGATATGCTTGTAAATATAATATAAGTGAAGAGGACACTCGTTATATTGCAGTAGAAATTCTGACAAATGGCGATATAGCAAGAGGTATCTTTATAGAGTGATTACAAAGGTTGTTCCTAAAATTTTTGTAATGATATGCTTCCAGATATAACACATTAATTGTACAACGTTTCTAAATACAACGTTGATTATACAGCGCCTCAAAATACATATAATACGCTAATTTCACACCGTGCTGAAACAGTGATCTAACCTAACGCGTCAACACGATATACAAATTAACTTTCAACGCGAAATACAACCCCCGATGCAAGGTTTAATCAGACAACGCGTCACTTGAACGCTGACGATCGAGCCACGACCGAAATTATGCCCACCTATATTAGAGTACATCCTGTACAACGAGAACACTACAACGACGAAGTATTCGCATTGGAACGTCGAGAAGAGGTCGAAACAGAGAACACAGGGACAGGTACACGACGCTTTGTAATGATCCAAGATTTAAGAACCGGTTTTTGATCTTGGTTCGATTGGCAGAAAGTAACGGCCCATGATTGCAGACATAAAAGTCGATCGAAAGAAACATACAGTAATTACTAGTTAACTTGACCGCGATCGATACTACGTATATCTCGAGCACACGGATAAAGAGATGAGAAGAGCGAGGAAAAAATCAGCCCGGTAACTGATTCCGATCGATACACCACGCGACGTTTATTGGAGGGTTATAAACGTTCTCGAGTGAAATATCGCTCGCGGACGTTCCTCTGGCGGATATTGTAACTTGCGCATGAATAATGACGGAAACCGACAACCGTCTTGAATTCCCCAGATACTGACACCGGGATAAAAAAATGTCCTAAGAGTCCGCCTCTCGATAATTACGAGAACTTCTTGTCGCACCGAACTGCCAAAGTTTCAAAAACAATAACTTCGAAAATTCTAGAAATTCAAAGTCCTAATGTCCTCACCTAATTTATCATTCTTTCGATAATAAAAATCTTAGGAATAATTCGAACATGTTGTTCAACGATTGAAAGAGTGATATGCAGATATCGGTTTCAGTTTGAGTAGACCAAGAGATGGAGAACCGCTACCGAAAAGAAAAAATTCCTAGCATCGATTACCGAAGTGTAACAGTGTAAACGGTGCGCACACACGTTTGCGCATGTCATCCCGTGCATGCAGAACCATCACAGTTGATTTATACTCGTTCCCCTCAATCGCGTCAACGAGGACACCTACAGACCCCCGTGTTTCAAAGGCACATCAGAGGGTTTAACTACGCACTTTCTTCGATTCCTGTTTCTACGTCGAATTTTGCGACGCAGTCATTCGTGTAAACATCAACCGCATTAGTGTATACGCGGACCCGCCAACACATCGACGGAAGTTTGTTAAGAACGATACTCCTCGAATCTCGTAACGATTAGTCAGTATTGCATCAACATTAAAATAAGTAACTAATGTAACAAGTTAACGCGTTATTCAATTTGATCTATTTGTCGTTTTCACACTACAGTTGTAAACGTTGGATTATAATTGAATTTGTATTTCGTTTATAGTTTAAACGATAAAATATTTGATAGCATCGGTAAGGTTGTTTGTATTCGTACGTATTCTACCTTTTCGCATAAAGCATTTGAAAATGTTTTTACGTTTGAAGATATCCAGCTGCGCGATAAGACGAGTTAAAACAGGTTGCATCAGTATTTGAATGTCAGTGCAATTTTTATGCCTTATCGTTCAAAGAATTGAATATATAACACGGTTCGACTGGCTTCTCCATTTTTATGATTCATAATGCTCGACCAACACTCAAACACTTTCACTCCGAAATATATTTCAATGTAAAATTGTTACGCAATTGAAAGCAAGTAAAACTAAAATGACCGGAATCGTAAAAAACTCAAGTGCTAGTATTAAACGGAGATAACAGTCGAACGGAATCGCGCATCATCGATTCCTATAAAACTCGGAACGTTTCCATACGACCTTCATTTGCTCATTCTCGAGCATGTAAAAAACGAATAATTGCCCTTAAAAAAATTCAATTCCAAAGGCATATAACCATACAAGTGTTAAAGTGTCATTTCGATTCATAATTTTGGGGAAAAAATGATTTGATCCGTACCTGGTCACTATCGGCGAGCCATGTTTTCTGCCGGCGTGCAATTTCCCGTGTCGAAACGGATCGTTCAGAAGATGTCCCCATCGTCCATCACTTTACCGAATTCGCGTGTCCGTCCTTCCAGAGGGTTTTCACGCATACACGCACGCAGACGCAACAGCACGACGACGCAGTGCTGCCGGAGAAAGCCGAGCCGGCTGCTGGGTGCCGGTCAGGTTCACCGTTGGAACAGTCTCGAAAATGCATCGCGACGAGAATCATGGGTCGCGTCGAAAAAACGGTCGAGCAAATATCGGGACGAGCCGCGAGAAATAGCGACGAGAATGACTGAACGCGAACCGCGCGAAAGCAAGAAAAATGTGGCAATGATTCGCGACCGCGAGAAGGTTGCCGGCTGCCGCCTTGGCACTGACAGTGGCCCTCGCGCCTAGCAACACCGAACGCCAAACTGTCGACTCGCCGAAGGCAGCCGGCACCGCACCACCGTGCCCCCCTTTTTCATTCGCGTATCCTTCTCGCGCTCTCGTCGCTTCTTTCTTGCTCGAACAACTCCTTCGTATCGTCGTCCCGCTTCTACGGCCGCGTTCTTTTTCCACCTTGTCGTCGCGTACGTTCATTTTCTTTTTCTTCGCTATTTACTTTTGTCCTCGTTGCTCGTCTCTTTTTCTTGTCTTTCTCTCTCGTCTGCCCGTCTCGAGGTACATCGGCTACGAAACACGTTTGTCTTCGTCGCGATCGCGATTTTACTTTTGTCTTTCTCGCGCGAACGAGCACGCTACTCGCGTTTGTTTCTTCTAGCTTGGAGCGCAATTGCTAGCGAACCAACCAGCCGCGGGCACAGCAGCCAAACGAGTACGAAAGCCGGTAACCGGCACGACGCGCCACGCCAAAGCGGCCACGCGATTGGCCCGCCGCCGGCTACTCCGACCAATCGCGTGCCATCCTCCGTTGTCAGGTGGTACCGCGTTCTCCTCGCTAAAAGGCGATTGCTACAATGAAAAAAATTGCTTTCTGGCGGTTTCGGAAAGAACGATATTTTTGAAAATGGTATTAAACTTTTAAAAAAGAACTTCTTTTAAAAAGAATGCTCAAAGAACAATTGTACAGGTAGAACTATTTGGGACTGATGAAAATTCATTTTGAGAAAGAATGAAATATAAGACAATCTATATTGTCTAACCTATTTGTAAGAGAGTTTACAATTAATCTCTGAACGAGTACGTTTAATTTTCAAATTCATACTTTTATAATATATAAGTAAGTTTATACACACGTTTATATTCCCAATAAGATATTGATGGAGATATCGTTAAATCGAGTGAGATGACTGATATAAACCGTAACATATAATTTTATCACCCGGATTTAAGTTATTGCAAATCGTTTTGTTAGGTTAGTTTTGGAATCTGCGAATATAAGTGAATGGTAATACTACTTTTAGCGGCAACGATATTTTAACGATACTATCGATAACTTTATATGACATCGATAATTTATCGATAATCAGAGCAACTTTCCCGTGTCTCAACACTGCACTTTATGTATTCCCAGCAAGAGCAATGTCTCCCAACAGAGGGGTACAATGGAAGCACTTTTCATTGTTCATGAAAATCCTGCGGGGTGCATTTACCGAATGCTACACTGGCAAATGGACTGCTGCAAGTAATGCGACGCAAAGATTGCCACAAATTACTGTAGGTGTGCCAACTTAACGAGCAATTTCAAGGAACCGCGTTTAGCACACGAGTGGGTCATTTAGTCTGAGCAACTTTGCGAGCGACTCGGTGCAGCCGAAGCGATCGAGACGAAACATGTTTTCCTGAACGTCAACAAATCGTAACTCGAATTTTTAAGCGCACGACACACGGTCACGTGTCGATTTACTATCCTTCCGTGATGACCGTTTTCGTTTCTTTTCCCGGCGAAGACTGCGAAACGTAACTCTACCATGTTTTTTCTGCTATCGTTAAAAGTCAACAAATCGTAAGGCGAGTTTTTAAGCGCACGATGGCTCGGTCACGTGCCGGTTTACGAGCCGGTGCCATTTTCGTTTCTTTTCCTCCTTCACCTTTGTCTGGTCGAAATAGGTCATGGTGCGAAGGAATAAGCGCAGATGAGGCGAATACCGACGACAAGGAGAGACCCAACCGAGGACGAGGATCACGCGCGTTGAGTACGTGCCTTGCATCCGCTGCGGCGCGGTTGCGTTTCGTTCGCCATTGCCTGATTAACTCGACGTCATTTATCAGATTAAATGGATAATACTTGGACGGGCAGTGTCTGATGTAACCCATGCTCGCGCTAGCTACAGTTCCTCACAGATTCTTCATTAATTCCCTCCCTTTTCTTACATAATCGCTCGAAAATACAAATTGAATCGAGACCCGATAACGACCTCTCATTGTGTATTACCTAAAACGTGAAATCGTAGTTATGGCAATGTTACGCAATATGAAAGCTCACCTTATGGCAAATGACATCTTTAGTTGAAAGCCGAACGTTCTACTTCAATTATCCTTTCAATCAATTAATATTGTATACGTCATGGTACTTGGAAAATTACAAATGGAGTCGGACATAGTTTTCAAGAGGAACAAATGTACTATGTTTTATTTTAATTGTTCAATGGGGGTTAAAAATATCCTTTCATTCACATAAAATTCTTATTAAATTTTACTAAAAGGATAAGACCTCTCTTAAGCAAAAAGTGTTCTCTCTATGCAAAAAGGTTATGGAAGTGATTCATGCGACTGTTAAAATTTTTGGCGGAATAATTTACGATTTGTAGTAGGATTTGACAGCAAAGGAACATTATATAGCGAAATCACAGCAACCATGCGGCAGACATGCAATTTAATCCGTGATTAGAGTTTACGGCAGCCACGTTGATTAGGTCGTTAAAGAAACTATTAGAGTGGCTAAATACAGTCCCGGGTACTCCCACTCGTCTCCGTTGAATTGTAATTCGATGCAGCACAGTGTTCACGTGAACATCTGCACCCGTTTTGGATCGATGATTTATATTAAAAGATGCCTTATTATTCACGATGCGTGTATCTTTGCCTAAAAATAGAATTCGAGACGCGTACACACGACTGTTGAACAGAAGGAGGAAATTATTAGGTTCGTCAGCGATCCGTTTGACTTGTCCGAGTAAATTGCCTCGAATTACCTCAGCACCCGGCAATAGAAGGTGACCTAGCGCAAAACGCGATCTTCGAAGAATCGTACGAATCAAACGGTTCAAAGTTTGTCTATTCTCTCAGCGAGGTAAAGAGTACGAAACCGATGGACTTCGAACAAAAAATCCTAGTGTTCGATAAAAACACGGGAGAAATTGTCGTAGGTATAAATTCCGATTTTGTCACGATCCGGTCTGTTTCGTTAAAGGAGAGATAAAAGCCTTGGCAGATAAAAGGTTCGGTCAAGGTCTTGGCCTTAATCGTTATTGGACATCTGACCCATATGTATCAGATGCTTTCTAAGATTTAAAGTTTCTAAAACTATCACGGTTGTGTCGACTTCGAGAAACGATCTAGATAAACGATACGGCAGTGCAGTGGAGGCTGTGGAACCTCTTCTAATAATAGACGTACAAACGAATTTCAAACTCTCTGATCGTGCTTTAAATCGTGTTGCAGATGACAAATCTAGGTCTACCTCCACGGTTTTACGATGATAAATTGAATCTCGCTTCTCGCGCTATTCGTTCTTTTATTGTATGTCACACTCACGTTATATTGCAATCTTTGCACACTTACGTACACTAATAAAACGTTTTCCAATCATCTGTGAATTCGAAACTCTCGTTATATCGCCACGAGTTATTTCATTATACGTTTTACGGTTATGTGTTACGTCTTTAGATTCCTATATTCTTAAATTTTTATATTCCTAGTTTTCTACGTTTTTAGATTTTTACGTCCAAAGATCCCTAGGACATGAGATATGTCTCGAAATCCCTAGATCCTAAAATACTTAGGAGCCGAGCTCACTAAGACCCAAGACCTCTACGTCAAAAAATCACTAGATCCCAAAATACCTAAGTTTAAAGATATCTACATCCCAAAAATCCCTAGATCCAAAAATCACTAAATCCAAAATCCCTGGATCCAAAAATCCTTAGACCCCAAAATCACTAGATTCAAAAATCCCTAGATCCAAAAATCACTAAACCCAAAAATCCCAAGATTCCAAAATCACTAGATCCAAAAATCCCTGGATCCAAAAATCCTTAGACCCCAAAATTGCTAGATTCAAAAATCCCTAGATCCAAAAATCACTAAATCCAAAAATCCTTAGACCCCAAAATCACTAGATTTAAAAATTCCTAGATCCAAAAATTACTAGACCCAAAAATCCCAATATTTAAAAATCCCTAGATCAAAAAATCACTAGACCAAAAATTCCTAGCTCCCAAAGTCGCTATATTAAAAAATTCCTAGATCCCAAGATTTCTACGCCCCAAAATCCCTAGGTTCCAGGATCTCTATATCCGAAAATCCCTAGATCCAAGATTTCTAAGTCCTAAAATCCCCAGATCTCAAAATACCTCGGTCCCGAGATCCCTAAGTCTCTACATGCCGAAATGCTTAGCTCTAATATACTTTTATCCCTGTTTCTATATTTCGCTGCTTTAATCCCTAGATTCATATGTCCTTATATCCCTAAATTTCTAAACTCCTATATTGAAAGTAACAACAGGAACAGTATTGCAGTAATACTGATGAAACAGTAGGTGCGCTCCACATAGGAAAATTTATGGCAAGGATAATAGCTGTGATAAATAATGCAGAAACGATTAGATATTAGAAAGGCACGAAAAGCTAATAAAGTAATAACACAGAAAATTCGAATGCATCGATAATATTAACGATAACACCGCGCAGTTAACCCGTTTTTCTATTAATTATCTGAAATAACCGCCGTACCCGAAGCTAAAACTATTCAATTTAAAAATATTTTATCGCGATGCGTATGCAATTACGTCTCACAAAGGCGTCCCGATGAAATTCACTGACAACGGCCATTCTACGCGATGAATTTTCTACGTAGAAATGGAAATGAAGTCGATATCGCGTGTCAGAGGTACGGGAGGCACGTCCTATTGGAATATCGTGTTGGCAAAACGGCCGTCAGAAACAAGAAGCTGGATTAATGGAACGAATTAATAATATCATTTCATCTCTTCATACTTTTGTTTCACCGCTCTCGCTGCAGGAATACACCAAGCCGTTTTGAATCGCCTCAAAATTGCGCTTTATTTTCCTGTTTCCTCTTTTTTCGACAATTCTAAAGGAACGGGACAGTTAATTATCCGGGCTCTGATCCGTTTCAATAATTGTGAAATATTCGCGAGGCGGACTGAAAATTAAACTTCAATCTCTAACGCCATCAAATGATTACATTTCGCTGCTCTTTGCAGTTTTTATTTAGTCTATAATTAAAGATCCTCGATTACTTTTACAACTAAGATTATTCGCGATCCATTACAGAATTCTAAGCAAAGGCACAGTCCTTAACGAGCTGGTATTTCAATAACCGTTCCAATTTATCTTTGTACATGATACGCTTTTGAAACGACCCCTCGAATTAGGGTTTTAGAGGTACGTTGCGTAGTTGGCTCTGACACGCAACAAGCCAATACGAATCACGACATAATGCGGTAAGCACCGATACGATAAAAGTCCAGACGAAAACAACGAGAGCGGGAAAGAAATCTTGCCTGCACCGTAATTGTCGCGAGGTACAGAGATGCATCGATCGAGAGGAGAAAAAGCGCGAGGGAAAACCGTGTTGGCGGATAAACGCGACAGAAAGAGAAAGGACGATCGATGAAGATGCGGTATACGCGCAAGAGTAACAGAGACCGAGAATCGCGCAGCTCCCTCCTTCTGGGATGACATCTCCCCGTGACCTTGGAATAGAGACTGACCTTGACCGTGTCAACCCCCACCAGACTGCTCTAACGCGTCCCGGCTGCTCACCTCTCTCCCCGTTCCCCACTCTAGCGCCCTAACCACGGCATCCAGAGTCGCGTCGTATTACGCGAATGCGATGTTGCTCGATGCTGCTGCTGCTGCTGTTGGTAATTCTCCTGCTCTTCAGGGTCGACGAGCAAATTTTTTTCAATCTGGACCTCCAGAGATTTTCGATTTCGAAGTTGGTTACTTGGAAACTTGAATTTTTTTGCTTTTGGAAATGTATCATGGCAGATTTGGGGATTTGGAAACTTCAGAATTATGTAGTTGGGAGTTTGGATGGTTTAGAATCGAGGTACTGATGATAGTGATAGGGAGGAATTTTGGGAGCTGGAAATTTGAGAATCTAGGGAATTTGGAAGTTTTTCAACTGAGGAGTAGGGTAGGGAAGTTGGTAATTTTGGAATCTGGGGATTTAGAAGTTTGGGGTATTGGTGATTTGGAAATTTAGGGAATGGGAAATTTGAGAATCTAGGGAATTTGGAAGTTTGTGAACTGAGGACTAGGGTAGGGAAGTTGGCAATTTTAGAATCTGGGGATTTAGGAATTTGGGGTATTGGTAATTTGTAAATTTAGGGAATTGGGGATTTTAGAATCTAGGGAATTAGATTAGTGAATGAGGGGACTGAAAAACTAAAGAAATTAACAATTACAAAATCTAGAGAATTTAGGAATTTAGGGATTTTTGAATCTATGAATTTCTAACTAGAACATTTGAAAATTTAGGAAATGAAAGCTAGAATTTGGAAGTCTGAACAATTATGAATCTAAATTTAAAAACTTAACATCAAAGTTGCAAATTTCGATACTTCGAAAACGTAGAAGTATAATAATTGAAAAAAGTGTTCCATATTATCTAAACATACAATACAGGAACACACACACACGAAAGTGTCAGGTGTGTAACACTCCACACATTCCAGAGAACTCGTGCCGGCCCTGCTGCTGCTGCTGCGGCTGCGGGCGTCGTTGCTGCATCGACCGGCCGCAGCAGACTACCAACCCCTCTCCTCTTTCACCCCTCGAAACCCCGGCTAACCTATCGCGAATTCACCCCTCGCCCCGACCCGC